TCCTGCTTCAAGACCCTCATCCTGAAGCCCAGGGGGGCTGCAGGGGGCCAGCACTGAACAGGACCAGCCATCTCTTGGATTAGAGGCAAGAAATGTGAATCAGAATCTTGCGCCATTGTGAAGACATGGTTTAGCTGAACAAAGAGGTGGCTTCTTGGTGACAAGACAGCCCTCATTTTTTATTTTAACCACATCTCTCTTTTTTCTTATGTCTTAAAATTGGATCTTGCTGGGGAGCACGTGGTGGCACAGGGGCTTGGAAGTCTGGTGAGCATATTTGCATATTTCTCGATGACTTCAGAAACACTCAGTCTCGGAGAGCAGCCCTGGTGCTGCTGCTACCCAGGGGCTTGACCGCAGACCCTCGGACCCTCAGCTTCTGGTGGCCGAGCAGGAGGAGCCTTCGGGAGCCAGTGAGAGGGGAGAGGTTAGGGATCCCAGAGTCAGGGCCATCTGCCATGAGAAAACTGCCTAAGCTCTCTGAGCTTCAGTTCTCTCGTTGCAAGGTGCAGATTGGAATAAACAGCTTAAGTGACTGAGGGGGTAGGTTCTGGAGCCAGCTGCGTGGGTTCGAATCCTGTCCCACCTCTCAGGAGGTCTTAGCAAGTTACTTAACCTCTGTCTGCCTCCACTTCTTCATCGATAAAATAGTGATTCCTGCCGCACTCTAGGCTGTAGGCTGCTGTGAGAGTTAAGCGACTTCATGTCAGGTGCTTGAACAGTCCCAGTTAGGAGTGTTCCCTGTGAGTCGTGGAAAGTAGTGATGTCATTCTGTAGCCACGTGGTCTTCCTATAGTGATGTGCTCTTCTAGTGACATAGCCTTGTGGTGCATAGTCTTGTAGTGCTGTGGTCTTGTAGTGTCGTGATCCTGTGATAACCCTGCCTTGGCATCAGCCGTGGTGTTGGTATTAATGTTAATGTTGGGGTGGCCCTAAGAGTCCAGGCAGGGAGATAAATACAGTGCTCACTCGGCCTGGCACAAGGAAGCCCCCAACTGATACCTGTGCCCTTCTGTCCCCTGCCCCAGAGCAGTAGGGACAGAAATGGAGTTTGCTATTGTGTTACACCGATACCCACATGCTGGGGTAAGTGGGGATGGGGCAGGGTCAAGTCCTTGTTTAAAAGATGTCAAGATGGCCAGGCACGGTGGTTCATGCCTGTAATCCCAGCAGTTTGGGAGGTTGAGGCAGGTGGGTCACCTGAGGTCAGGAGTTTGAGAGCAGGCTGGCCAACATGGTGAAACCCTGTCTTTACTAAAAATACAAAATTAGCTGGGCATGGTGGCTTATGCCTGTAGTCCCAGCTACTCAGGAGGCTGAGACAGGAGAATTGCTTGAACCCAGGAGGCAGAGGCTGTAGTGAGCTGAGATCACGCTACTGCACTCTAGCCTGGGCAAGACAGAGCGAGACACCATCTCAAAAGAAATAAATAAATAAACAAATAAAATAAAAGATGTCAAGAAAACACACGGATTCATCTCGGCACAGAGGGCATTGCTGTCCTCAGTTCTGACCCCCAAGCGTGGGCTTCCCTCTGGAAGGGAGGGGCTGCCTGCCGTCTTCTGAGCTCCTGTCCTGCCAGCCAGCCCCTGTGCATAGACCTCCCCAGGCACTGTCTCACCTACTCCTCCCAGCCAGCCCACGAGGTGGACGTGGCCCTGCCCAGTTAACAGATGGGCAAACTGAGGCTCAGGGGGAACCAGTGACTGCCCAGAGCCACAGCAAGGGGGCAGGGCTGGAACTCAAACCTGGGTCCGCGTGCTCCACCCCACCACACAGCGTGCGCGAAGGTCTGGAAATACTGCCACGGAGCCTTGCCGTCAGGAACCACCATGGTGGGCTCCTCTGACCCCAGCATGAGTCCTGCTCATTTTCTGGAAAGTTCTTAAGGCTATGCTTTCTGTGCCATCTGCTGGGTTGGTTAAAGGTTGCACTGGGTTGCAAAAGCAGTTTCTCCAGCGAAAGCAATCCACCTCATGCCTAGAAGAGAACCCAGGCCAGAGACATGAAGGGAGAGAGGACCTAGCCTGGGGGCACAGCTCCCACTTAATGCCAGAAGACCCGAGTTCTGGCCCTGGTTCCACTGCTTACAACCCCTTTGAGTCTGAGGGTGTTACTCTCCGTGCCTCAGTTTTCTCATCTGCGAAACAGGAATTTTGATTTCTGCCCTGCGTAGCTCCTGAGGTGAGTAGGATAAAACTGCCAAATAATAATGGCCAATGCATAGGCAGCTCTTGGGAGGCACTGGACGGCGTCTTAGAAGTTTACCTACTTGCCCTCTTTTAACCCTCTGAAGGGCCTCTGAGGTCACTGTTCTATCATGATCCCATTGTACACACCAGGAAGGTAGGATACAAAGATATCAGTATCTTGTCCAAGGTCACCCACTGGTAAGGCATTTGGGTCTGATTTAGATGAACAGAAAGTCATCCATCGTGGCCACTTCTTGGTAGGTAGACATATGGCTCCCTACTTGATTATTCTCAGTAACGGGGAGCTCACTACTCTCTAAGCACCTACGACTGTTAGTCTAGGGCTTGGGTAGGTGGCGGTGATGGTCCCTGGTAAATAGATCCCATATGGAAAGGGAAGACAGGGAGAAGATCCTGGGCGTGGCTTCGGCCTTGCTGCAGTGGAGGGGCCAGGAGATCTACCTATGGCCGGGAGAGGGTGGGTCCATGTTCTGCTTCATGCCTTCCGCAGGCCAAACCTGAGGCTGAGAGAGGAGAAAAATGCTCAACAAACAGGACAGACAGTAGCTGCTCAAAAAGCCTTGGGGTGGACAAATCCTCTTTCTAGGGGAAATTTTAAATATGAAACCAACATCACCATATTGGACAGAGTCTGGAGAACGGGCTCTGATTCTGCCTGCAGCCTCGCCCCCTGAACGTATTCATTTCCTGTCAATCTGTTCTGAGGTAGAAGTCCTGTTGCGTAGTGTCATTGCCGCACCGCACCTACAGCTCTACGGTTCTCTATCCTGCTCTTTTCTTTTCTTTTCTTTTTTAGACAGTGCCTTGCTCTTTCACCCAGGCTGGAGTGCAGTGGCACAATCACCACATTCCGGTAGCTGGGACCACGGGCACGCACCACCACACCCTGCCAATTTTTTTATTTGTTTTTGGGTTTTGGCTTTTTGGTTTTCTTTTTTTTTTTTTTTTTCTTTTTTTTTTTTTTTTTTTTTTTAGTAGAAATGAGGTTTTGCAGCCGGGCGCGGTGGCTCACGCTTGTAATCCTAGCACTTTGGGAGGCCGAGGCGGGTGGATCGCCTGAGGTCAGGAGTTCAAGACCAGCCTGGCCAACATAGTGAAACCCAGTCTCTACTAAAAAATACAAAAATTAGCCAGGCGTGGTGGCGGACACCTGTAATCCCTGCTACTCGGGAGGCTGAGGCAGGAGAATTGCTTGAACCCGGGAGGTAGAGGTTGCAGTGAGCCAAGATCTTGCCACTGCACTCCAGCCTGGGTGACAGAGCAAGACGCTATCTCACAAAAAAAAGAAAAAAAAAAAGAAATGGGGTTTTGCCATGTTGCCCAAGCTGGTTTTGAACTCCTAGGCTCAAATCATCCTCCTGCCTTGGCCTCCCAAAGTGCTGGGATTACAGGCATGAGCCACCGCGTCTGACCGGTTCTGCTTTTTTCACTAGATGTAATATCGTGAGCATCTTCCCTGTCCCTAAGCAGCCCAGGAGCTCGTGAGCAGTCCTGATGGGTTTTTAGGAGCTGCACAGTATCTGTCCCATGGAAGTTCCGTCATTTGTCTTGGAGCCACCCTTTCAGCGGGGCCTCCACGTGCACGATGATGTGAAAAGCTGTGTGACCCCAGGCGGGGCTCTCACCCTCTCTGCATCTCAGTTTCCTGCTCTGCTGTCAAATGGGAGCAAGAAGCAACCCACGTCTAGGGCTTCTAGGAGGAGTAAACGAGGAGATGGGATGTGAAGTGTCTGGCATGTGGCGGGGCTTAAAACTCGGTGGCCATTGTTACTGTTGTTGTTATTATTATTTAGGTCACATATCCTAATTAAATTGTGGATTCTTACAGACAGGAGCCAGATTCTGTGCAGTCCTGTGCCCCACTCCTAGCCACGCTCAGTCATGTTTATGATTTGATTCCTGATGTTCGGTTTCCCCCGAATAGAATGAGTCTCTGTGTGGGTGAGGTGCTGGGAGAACTTGATTCGCATACTCTCATTTTGTCCCCCATGAGCAGAGATCCTTAGCTCCTTTGTAGAAACTGGCTCAGATGGGCAAGTTACTGAACCTGGAAAAGTGAAGGGAAAAAGAAAAATCAAAAACAGAAGAGAAGGCTGGGCGCAGTGGCTCGCGTCAGTAACCCCAGCACTTTAGGAGGTCAAGGTGGGCAGGTCGCTTGGGCCCAGGAGTTTAAGCCAAGCCTGGGCAACATAGCAAGACCCAGTCTCTACTAAAAGTATGAAAAAATGAGTGAGCCAGGCATGGTGGTGTGCAGTTGTGGTCTTAGCTACTCAGGAGGCTGAGGTGGGAGGGCCACCTGAGTCCGGGAGGTCAAGGCTGCAGTGAACTGTGATTGCACCACTGCTTTTCAGCCTGGGCAACAGAGTGAGACCCTGTCTCAAAAAAAAAAGAAAAGAAAAGAAAAGAAAAAGAAAAAAAGAAAGAAGAGAAGAGAGAAAAGAGGAGAGAAGAGAAGAGAAACTGGCTCAGAGAGTGTGATGGGCCTCCCCACAGTCACACAGCAGAAAGGGAGGATCCAGGAATGCTTCCTAAAGGAGGTGGCAATGGCCCTGGGCCAGCAGGATGGAGGGTTTGACTGGGCCAACAGGCAGAGGGCTGGTGTTCTAGGTGGGATGAAGAGGAGGAGGGGGGCTTTCCAAGGGGCATAGCAGTCTGAGCCCAACACCCAACATAGGGTGCAGTAGAGTGTGGGTGGGGCTCAGGGGTATGTGCTGAGCTGACCTGTAGTCACAGGGCAGGAATGAGCTGTCTGGGCTCCTGACCCCACCCTGCACCTTGGCCCCGGCCAGTTCCTTCTGTCCGGGCAGGAAGGGGTGCTCTGTGGGCTTGGAGGCTGCAGGCGCCTTCCTGGGGACTGCTCTGTGAGCAGTGATAAAATATTTATCAGCCAGCAGCTGGGCTTCCCTGCACAGGGTGCAGTCGGGGGCAGCTCCCACCCGAGCCTACAGCCTGAGTTCTGCTGAGTCATGGGGGAGCCCAGTGAGCCACCTGCCCTCAGGCTCCTGGGCCCCCTCTGCCCTTTGGCCATGTGAACGCCTCCTAATGTGTAAGCCATTCGGCTGCCCATAAGGCCAGGCATCCAGCGTGCTTAGTGCTGAGCAGGGTTTCCGAGCTCACCCCCAGGAGGGTGCAGACCTCAGCCAAGGTCGCAGGGCAAAGGACACCCGTGGGCTGGGATTCCGCCTGTGCCCACCCTGGCGGCCTCCCACCTCCTGAGTCCTCTCGGCACCCAGCAAGGTAGGTACCCTTTGCGTCTGGTTTTAGACATGGGGATGCCTAGGCATGGAGACGGGGCGCGGCGTGTCGGGTCTCATAGCCCTTAGCGGCTGAGTGGAGATTTGGCCCTGGTCTGTCTGACTCCAAGACCCTGCTGTGTTCCCCTGCCCCGGAGGAACCCCACTCCGTTTCAGCTCTGAATCAGGACTGGGGTGTCTGTCCACCCTGATGTGACACAGTGCTGTGACTTCGGGTTGTGCTTTTGATTTTTAGAGTAGCAGCAACAACAAAAAACAGTAGCAGATGGCTCCTTCCTACTGCTGCGTGGGGTGGGACGAAGAGCAGGGGGTTCAGATTCTTTTGTTCACTCATTCATAAAAAGTATTCTGGGTGCCCTGGCCAGGGGCCAGCGTTCGAGGCTCCAGGGACCAGTGGGGGACGTATCAGATGGACCTGCCCTAGGGGAGCTTATGCCATGGTGAGGGGAGTCAGAGGGGTGAGCTTAGTGCCTGGGCCTGGTCACCTGCTGTGTGACCTCGGGCAGGTTGCTTCACCTCTCTGAGCCTCAGTCTCTGATTTGTGAATTCGGGATAAACTTGGCTTTTTCTCTGAGCAAGCAAGGATCACACCTGTGTTCTTATTCTTTATCACGGCCTCACATCCACCAAAGCCTGCGGGCACAGATCAGCCTTTGCACCAGCTCCAGTTTCCAGAGTAGGCCCTGGCAGGCTTAGCGTTGGCTCGTCCAGGAAATAACCGTGAGCTGGTGCTGGGGGCCTTAAGGACAGGCTGGTTTTAAGGTGGAAGTTTTGCCTAAGGTGCTCAGAATTCTGAAGGGAAGTGCTGGTCCCCAGAGCCACGCATGCAGCAGCTGTGAGAGGGAGCGGGCTGCATGCAGGCTCTTGATGGGAACCCTGTGGGTGGTCGGGTCATCTCCGATGCCCAGTTCTGGGCTGGGCACTTGTTGCACCCGCTCACCACCTGCCCGGACACGCAGTCTCTTCCTGCTCACTCTCAGCCTTCTGTCCTCTAGGCCTTCCTCCTGCTGTTCCTATGCCTAGTCCGATTTTCCTGCCATCCTTCACCTGCTGGGCTTCTGCTGGCTCTTTTTTTTTTTTTCAGATGGAGTTTCACCTTTGTTGTTCAGGCTGGAGTGCAATGGTGCAATCTCGGCTCGTCGGCTCACTGCAACCTCTGCCTCCAGCGATTCTCCTGCCCCAGCCTCCCGAGTAGCTGGGATTACAGGTGTGTGCCACCACACCTGGCTTACTTTTGTATTTTTATAGAGACGGAGTTTCACCATGTTGGCCAGGCTGGTCTGGAACTCCTGACCTTAGGTGATCCACCTGCCTCGGCCTCCCAAAGTGCTGGAATTACAGGTGTGAGCCACCACGCCCCGCCTGCTGGTTCTTTAAGCCGCTGCTGGAAGGCATCCTCCTCTAGAAGTTCTTCCTGGCTGCCTCCTGTTCACCCCAGGCCGGGCAGACCCACGGCCCTCCCAGCGCCATCTCACCCCGGGCTCTGCTCATGCCTTTGGGCCAGCGCTTGTCATACAGAGCTTCTCTGCCCTGTTCCCAGGTCTCCCCGACAGCCTGGGGCTGCTTTGTGTGATTCATCTCTGGGTCCCAGGGCTCAGCTGGAGGCTGGTACAGAGTGGGACCCCAGCGGCATTCGATGAATTGAGAGCATGAGTGAGTGACAGAAATGCTTTAGGGGACAGGAGGCACCTGCCTTAGGGGACAGGAGGAAGCCTGCAGGTGCACGCGGGTGGGGCACTCGCTGCTTCTGTGAACCGTCTGTGCAGGCGGGGCCTCTGGTTTCCTGGCCTTCCAGAATGATGGATGGTCAGCCGGACAGTGGAAAATTAAGATTTCTGGGGCCTTGAAAGCGACTGCCATGGGAGTCAGTGCCCTGGGGGGTCAGGAGCACTGGCCTTCAAGTCTAGGCCTCTCCCCTTGTAGCTAAGTGACCCTGAGTGACTGCCCCCTCTCCTAGGCCTTAGAGGATACCTGGGGCCGCCCCAGGTCCATTCTGCAAATGCAGCATTTATTCCTGCGAGGGAGGTGGGCAGAGGCAGGCTTGTGTTCTTAGGATGCTCACCCTGGTGTCCCAGAAACACACAGACAGGCAGAAAAAAAGACCCAAATGAAATGTACCGAGATGGGGAGCGGTAATTTCTCTGGTGGTTTGTTTCTTTTTCCATTTTTTTTGTATTTTTCAAATTGTTAGAGCCCCTTCAGTGACTTTGAGCGTGCATTGAGAGCCCAGTAACACGGGGGGGCCACTGCCATAAAGATAGCCTCGGCCGGGCGCAGTGGCTCATGCCTGTAATCCCAGCACCTTGGGAGGCCGAGGCGGGTGGATCACCTGAGGTCAGGAGTCCGACACCAGCCTGACCAACATGGGGAAACCCCGTCTCTACTAAAAATACAAAAAAAAAAATAGCTAGGCATGGTGGCGCATGCCTGTAATCCCAGCTACTCAGGAGGCTGAGGGAGGAGAAGCACTTGAACCCAGGAGGTGGAGGTTGCAGTGAGCCGAGATCACCCTATTGCTGCCTAGGCAACAAGAGCGAAACTCACTCTCAAAAAAAACAAAAGACTCAGCCTCTCCCCTCTGGGACATTTAGTCTGATGGGGGAGGCTGGGCAGAAGATATAGAGCCATGGTGTGATTGGAATTTTCGCAGAGGGAAGCCTGGGGCTCAGGAAGCCCGGAGAAGACCCCAGCCCAGCCTGAGGGCTTGTACAGGTGCCACTGTGCTGAAGGGTGGCGACGAGGGAGGCGGGTGTGTGGGCGAGGGTGAGTGTAGTGTGGCTGGAGACTTGGAGGTAGGTGAGCAGGACGGCAAGAGACCCACAAGGAGGGTCAGCTGGACTTCAGCCTGAGTGAGTGGGTTTGGTGGGGGGAGCACTGATGTCAGGTCCCTCCTGGGAGCTGCTGTGATCTGGGGCTTTCTACTTTATTCAGTCAACAAACTTTTCTCAGAATATAGGCCCAGATACTGATGTGGCCCTTTAGGGTCACAGGGTCCAGGGTTCAAGTCCCAGCTCCACCACTATCCAGCTGTGCAACTTTTGACAGTTTGCTCTACCTCTCTGAGTCTCAGATACTTCATCTTTGAGATGAAGGGCACCTGCCCTGTGGCTTCCTGTGAGGAAGTATAGAAAATGCTGGGCACAGCCCCTGGAATGGCATGTCCCTCCCCCACCCTAAAGTGCACGTTTAGTAGAAGGAAAGGTGGGATGGGGAAGGATGGGGGATAGGGACAGAAGTGAGCATCTGAACCTAACAGGAGGGCTGGTCCCCGCCTGGTGGGGCAGCAAGGGGTCCCGCCACAGCCCAGCCAGGAGGTGGGCATCCCAGAGCCGTAGCTGTGGCAGCATTGCCTCCATGGAGGTCCCACAGCAGGGCTCACCAGCCTTTGCCCTCCCCATCCTGGGTGCCTGACTGCCCCATGGGAGCTGCTGCGTCTTCCCATGCCTGCCCACCACGGCAAGTGGGCTGGGACATCTCTCTGAGCCACAGATCCCCTGGTTGGAAGGATAAGGGATGGACACCTGGTCTCAGACTCCCACACACACACCAGGGCATGTTCCTGGCTCCCTGCCAGAGCCTAGGTGCCTGCTTAGAGGCTCAGAGTCCCCTGCCAGGAACTCAAGGTGACACAGTGGTGGCAGTGTGTGACAGAGGAGGGAGCCAAGATGGGGTTTGAGAGCCTGGGGCAGGGCAGTGCTGGGGCACAGGCTGCAGGACCCGGACAGAGCAGGGTCGGACTACAACATGGTCTCCACATTCGTGCATCCCGGCAGCTCTCACTGGACCCTGGCATTCCAGGGCCACGATTATCTGCCAGGGTAGCACCGCAGTGGCTCTTCCTTCCTCACCCTACCATGCCACCAGTGGTTGCTGAGTCTGTTCTCTCTCGGCCCCGGCATCTGCAGAGCTGGAGTGCTGATCCTCCTCTCCTGGCCTCTATGTGAGGCTCAACTGACACCAGCCCATGAAGGGCTCAGCATGTGCCTACCACATAGTAGGAATCTGCAGGATGGTGGCTGTTCACCCGGAGGGCCAGCCTTCCTTGGACTGGATTCCTGGGAACTCAGGGAAGTGCTCTGCAAAATGTTAGTTAAAAAAAAGTTTGGGAGGCTGGGTGCAGTGGCTCATGCCTGTAATCCCAGAACTTTGGGAGGCTGAGGCAGGCGGATCATGAGGTCAGCAGTTTGAGACCGGCCTGGGCGACATAGTAGAAACCCCATCTCTACTAAAAATACAAAAATTAGCTGGGCATGGTGGTGGGCACCTGTAATCCCAGCTACTCAGGAGGCTGAGGCAGGAGAATAGCTGGAAACCAGAAGACAGAGGTTGCAGTGAGCCAAAATTGCACCACTGCACTCCAGCCTGGGCAACAAGAGTGACACTTCATCTCAAAGAAGAAAAAAAAGTTTGGGAAACATCCCTTTTTGGGGAGTCCAACAGACAGTGCAGGCACAGCTCTGTGGAGGCAAGGGTGGCTGCTGAACTCTGTTTCACTCTGTGTTTTCCAGCCTTATGGGACCAGGGGCCTTGCTGGGAAAGAGCAGCCACTGAGCCCCAGGGGGACATCTGTGCCTTGTGTGGCTGTGCAGAGGGGGCTGTGGGACTCACGCAGGGCTGAGGCAGGAGGTGATGTGGGCAAACTGCCCTGTTCAGAGGTCCCTGTGGCCACAGCCTGGAGGGCAGCCAGGAGGAAGAAGCCCAGCCACAGGGAGGCCGATGTGGAGGGGATGCTGTGGCCAGAACTGTGGCCTGAGAGAGCAGTGGCTGGAGGGAGGAGCCGGCAAGAGTAGGAATCTGTGGGGCCCGGGAGACAGCACAGAGGGAACCTGCACCACATGGCCATGGACCTGCCTTACCACTGGCCCACTGAGTCGCAGAGGGCGTGGCCACTGGCCCACTGAGTCGCAGAGGGCGTGGCCACTGGCCCACTGAGTCGCAGAGGGGCGTGGCCAGCAGAGCTGAGATGTCCTCAGGAGAGGAGCC